CAATCCTCCTGCCTCCCGAGTAGCTGGGACTACAGGCACACGCTACCATGCCCAGCTGGTTGGCCAATTAATTTTTTTCTATTTTTGGTAGAGACTGGGTTTCACTCTTGCTCAGGCTGGTTTCAAACTCCTGACCTTGAGCGATCCACCCCCTTTGGCCTCCCAGAGTGCTCTAGGATTACAGTCGTGAGCCACCACGCCCGGCCTATGATTATCTACTTTTGTGTGTTGGAAAGGCTTTCACCACAAAATCACAAAAGTATTCTCTTATTTTCTTTATTACTTTATGGTTTTATTGTTTTACTTGTAAACCTTTAAGTTTGTCCCCACCTTCCTCTCCCCAGAAAAAGATATTCAAACATCCCATATTAATTTTTTATTTTTCTTGAGACAGAGTCTCACTTTGTTGCCCAAGCTAGAGTGAGTGCCATGGTGTCAGCCTAGCTCACAGCAACCTCAAGCTCCTGGGCTCAAGCAATCCTTCTGCCTCAGCCTCCCTAGTAGCTGGGACTACAGGCATGCGCCACCATGCCCGGCTAATTTTTTCTATATATGTATTAGTTGGCCAATTAATTTCTTTCTATTTATAGTAGAGACGGGTATCTCTCTTGCTCAGGCTGGTTTCGAACTTCTGACCTCGAGCAATCCACCTGCCTTGGCCTCGGCAGAGTGCTAGGATTACAGGCATGAGCCACCACGCCCGGCCCCGTATTAATTTTTTGAAAACCCTAACTCTCCCCTTGTTTCTGAGAGATTTCTTTTTGGCTACAAGTAACAAAATATACAACCAAAAGTTACCTGAACAATACAAGGATTTTAATATATCAAATAACAAATCCAAAGGTAAAGCAGTTCCAGGATTGGTTAATTCAGAAGCACAGTTCACGTGCTTTCTATCTGCATCCTGCTATCCTCATTGTGATGGCTTTCATCTCCATGCTTGTCCTTTCGTAGTCAGCAAATGGCTGTTACAGATTAGCTCCAAACATCCATCATCACGTATCTTCACGAGAAGCAGAAAAGGGGAGGGGGCAAATACCTATCTTGCATCCATTTTTTAAGAACAAAAAATTTCCCAAAAGTCCTTCACACTTCCCTATTTGTCTCATTAGCCAAGATTTCACCCTCTGGAACTAAGGAAACACCCTATTCAACAGCACAATGCAGCCATACAGAGTTAAGACCAAAATAAAAATCTGGCTTTGTTAGCAAGGAAGAAAGAGAGAAATGGCTCATGGGTAGGCAAATGAGAGTGTCTGACCCACTTATCTGAAATATCACCTTTCTCACACACTCAACTCCTATGTACTGCACCTATTTTATTTTGAAGATCCCTATTTTGTTCCACTTTGATCTATTTCTGTGTCATTAGCTATTCCTGGGTCATTATGACCCTTTTTAATTGCTAAGCTTGATATTAAATTTTTATATTTGGTAGAATCTTTCCTAAATTTATTTTTGCAAATCTGAAATTTTTTTCCAAATTATCTGAAAATTAGGATTACAGTCATGTATCAATTAACAAAGGGGATATGTTCTGAGAAACGTGTCATTAGGCAATTCTGTCATTATGCAAACATCATCAACCATACTAACCTAGATGGTAGAGCCTATTGCTCCCAGGCTACAAACCTATACAGCTTGTTACTTACTGTACTGAATACTGTAGACAACTGTAATGCAATAGTAAGTATTTCTGTATCTAAACATAGAAAAGGTCTGATCAATCTTCCCTGGCAAAAAAAAATTAAAAAAAAAATAAATAAAAAAATAAACATAGAAAAGGTACAGTAAAAATCTGATATTATAATCTTATGGAACCACTGTTATATATGTGGTCCATTGTTGATTGAAATGTCATTATGTGGAAGATGACCATAGTTTAATAAATTAATCTGAGTTAAACAGATATTTTTGTAACACCATACTTTCTATGAAAGGACAGTGATATGCTTCTAACTTAATTGAGTTTTCCTTTATGTCCTAAAGTAAATTTTTATAGTTTTAATTTCAATTATTATTATAATTTTTGGTTTATTATAAGAAATCTATCTTCTTAATCTGCCATTTTTATGGCAGAGAACCCAGTGAAACATCTCGTTTGGTGTGTCAATCATTCCCTTCTGCAGAGTTCCCTGTCAAATATATCTGAAAAGGTAATAATTGGGAAACAAGGTACAGTTTTAACAATCAAAGTGCTGATACTCCAATATGCAAAGCTCTAACAAAAGCTGGCTTGGAGATACCTGCTTATGCTACGTAATTTAAGTAAGATAAAGTAAGGCAAAGAGATGGTAAGGGAAAGACACTACATGAGTACTGACCCCAAACCACTAAGAGTAGATATGATCCAATGAATGTACATGTGGCCAATTATCTACCCTCTGCCCTTGTTGAAGAGTATATAAGGAAATAAAGATAAAGATGTTAGAACCTTCAACCTCCTCATCAATGGCAAAAAAAAGAAAAGAAAAGTGAAAAAAAAATATGTTAGAACCTTCATCAGGACTTACACGCATGGGAAGAGAAGTTGAAAATCAAGACTATAACAGAAATAAGCATAAAAATTCCTTCTCAACATATCTAATGTTCTTTGGCCTTGGAGATAACTGAATTCACATTTAAACTAATCTATATTTCATTTTAATTACATCAACGGTGTTCTCGAGGACTGAAATCTATTAAAGTGAAATTAAGTTTTTAAGCAATATAGGCAATCATATATGTATTTACACACAAATACACATGTATATATGAAATCCTTATATAGGCATAAAATTGTTTTAATAGAAATAAATTATAAGCAATAAAATAAAAAGTAAGCTTAATTTTAGTGTATTGTTTGCTTTTTTAAATAACTAAAACAAATTCATACTTTATCAAAATTTGTTCATTCTTAACACAAATGATTCTGTTGGTGTGTACTTTTCTTCATGTTAATTCAAGAAATCTTGAGCTTTGCTTCTCCATCTAGGGTTACATATACAACACTGTAACCAAATAAAATGTTTAAAATAAAGGTCCTACATCTTGGTGTCTGGTTATTTGAAATCAGATTTTCATTTGAAGTAGTTTCAGTAAAGTGTATGTCATGGCAAAATGTTCCTTTATCTGCTTTGAGTTGGTCTGTGTTGAATTGATAAAATACACTCTTACTCCCATACAAATGTCGAACACTGTAATTAAATAATTGCTACTTGAAATACTTTATACATGAATAATTTATCTCTTTACATTGTTGAAGCCTTGCATTTCAGTATGTTCTACAGCTTCTGTATCATCACCTGAAATTTGCCTGAAGAGAAAACATAAAAATTATTCTTTGATTTTAGGTACACAGAAAATAAGCCTAAACACCAATTTTTTATTCTATTTAGGAAGTAGTTTTAATCAAGACACTTGCTATGTCAAACAACTTTTCACACTCTACACAATATTCAATAAAGTCAATTCCATTTTTATGGGATGATTATCTGGTCTGTGAGTAGGTGCCTTTGTTCCTCTCTGTGATTCCTACCTTTTGTGTACAGTACTTTATTACTAATATCACTGTGAATGGAAAGGAAATACAGTGAAGCTCAAGTCAATTTTTTTCTTGGTTGTTAGCTCTGGTGTAAAAGACTAGTTGGCTGGCCAGGCGTGGTGGCTCACCAAGAGTGAGACCCCATCTCTACTAAAAATAGAAATTATCTGGACAACTAAAAAAAAATAGGCCGGGCGTGGTGGCTGACATCTGTAATCCTAGCACTCTGGGAGGCTGAGGCGGGCGGATTGCTCGAGGTCAGGAGTTCAAAACCAACAAGAGTGAGACCCTATCTCTACTAAAAATAGAAAGAAATTAATTGACCAACTAAAAATATACATACAAAAAATTAGCCGGGCATGGTGGTGCATGGCTGTAGTCCCAGCTACTCAAGAGGCTGAGGCAGTAGGATCACTTGATACCAGGAGACTGAGGTTGCTGTGAGCTAGGCTGATGCCACGGCACTCACTCTAGCCTGGGCAACAAAGTGAGACTCTGTCTCTAAAAAAATAAAACAAAATATATATATATATAAAATTAGCCAGGCATGGTGGCATATGCCTGTAGTCCCAGCTACTCGGGAGGCTGAGGCAGAAGGATTGGTTGAGCCCAGGAGTTTGAAGTTGCTGTGAGCTAGGCTGATGCCACGGCTCTAGCCCGGGCAACAGAGCCAGACTCTCTGTCTCAAAAAAAAAAAAAAACTAGTTGGTTTTATTTAGCTTTATATAATAGATATATTCTAAACAGTTGTTTAAAAATAACAGTTCAATACCATAGGGAGATTTGTTATTTTAAAAGAACACTGCAGAACATTTCCATTTAAAAGTTAAGAATTGGCTGGACATGGTGACTCACACTGAGGCGGGAGGACCTCTTGAGCTCAGGAGTTGGAGACCAGCCTGAGAGAGAGTGAGACCCCGTCTCTACTAAAAATGGAAAAAATTAGCTGGGCGAGCCACACGCCTGTAGTCCCAGGAGGCTGAGGCAGGAGGATCACTTGAGCCCAGGAGTTTGAGGTTGCTGTGAGCTAGGCTGATGCCATGGCACTCTAGCCCAAGCAATAGAGTGATACTTTGTCTCAAAAAAAGTTAAGAATCATCCCTTGAATTGTCTTATGTATTTCGATTTCTTTCCTTTTATGTTTCCATGTCAGTCGGGTAATGCGCTGATGTTGTAACAAAGCTTAAGGTAGGCACATTTTACATATGCTCATGAAAACCCAATCATCACACTTATGAACTACAAAACGACCAAATTTGGACTTAGCAGATTTTTCTAAACCATTGTACATTATTAATTCAAAAATTATTCAACAGGAATATAGTATGCTGCATATTACTACATTAAATTTTAAAGTGATAAACTAAAATGAAACAGTTTCAGCATTTTTAATTTTCTGTAAGAAAAAAAAAACAACAACAACCAACAGCTGAAAAAATTACCAAAAACATTAGTAAGAAATGTGAATTCAACTTACAGGCAGGCATTGAAGACACTTCAGCTGTTACAATACTTTTTATCCCCAAATTTGATAGGCCACCTCTGATTAAGCCACATGTAAATGCTAAATACTAAAAGGAAAAAAATGTAAAAAATAGTAAGGGATTTACTAAAATAGTAAAGCTATTGACAAATAAGACATTTAGGTAAGCCATGCTATCAATAAGTCATTGCTGCTTAAAAAGAGTTGTGGAAGAACTGTTCAAGTTACTGAAAAATATGATTGTTGGAAGGTTTCCCAGCTCCTTGGCATCTAAAGCATGGAAACAAGTCTTAAGCTCAGCCAATTTAAGTGCTCCAGTCCAGGACTATGAATCAAGCTGGAAACAGATAAGAATTAGTTCTAGATCCAGCAAAGGTAATTTGTGTCTGCTGTCCATGCTACCCACAGGATTTTAACTAGACTCTCCCTGTAGAGTGACTTTGGCTCTGTTTACTAGCTGCTCTAACACCCCCTGGTTCTTGCCTGTTTTTTGAACCTATCAATTCTATAAACTAACCAGCAATAGTCCATTCAACCAGAGTTGATTTCTACTATCTACAATCAAGAAGCCTGACTTGAAGACTTACAGCCTACCACAACAAAGAATTATTCAGTTCAAAATATTGATAGTATAGATGATGAGAAACTTTGTCATATAAAAACAAAGAGAGAGCATAGGATTGAGCTATAGCAGGGAAAATCATGATAAGAATGGGAATTAAAAAATTAATAATCTGGCTGGGTGCGGTGGCTCACGCCTGTAATCCTAGCACTCTGGGAGGCCGAGGCCGGCGGATCACTCAAGCTCAGGAGTTCGAAACCAGAGTTAGCAAGAGCAAGACCCTGTCTTTACTAAAAATATAAAGAAATTAATTGGCTAACTAAAATATATAGAAAAAATTAGCCGGGCATGGTGGCGCATGCCTGTAATCCCAGCTACTTGGGAGGCTGAGGCAGAAGGATCGCTCGAGCCCAGGAGTTTGAGGTTGCTGTGAGCTAGGCTGATGCCACGGGCACTCTAGCTTGGGCAACAAAGTGAAACTCTGTCTCAAAAAAAAAATAATAATAATAATAATGCAAGGAATTTTTATTATCCATCTAAATTTCTGTATTGCATGGTGTTCAACAATACTACATATCTGTGAATAATATAAAATATTGTTATTTAAAATTAATATACATAAATAGGTACCAAGAAGTAATTAGATCTGAGTCATGAAATCTCTAACGAAGAGACCTTAGAGATGATCTCAAGAGTTCTTAATCTGTCTACAAGAACACTAGATACACTCCTTGAGGAAAAAAAAAAAGAAATAAAGAAAAAAAAAAGAGTTCTTAATCTGATAATTTGTAACCCCCATGAAAATAAAAACCATGTATATGTGCTTGTTTAAGGGGAATGGTGTTCCAATTCTCAAACATGTCTATAACCCCAAAATAGTTAAAAATCTGGGCAGGGTGCAGTGGCTCACTCCTGTAACTCTAGGCGGGAAGATCAATTTGAGGCCAGGAACTTGAGACCAGGCTGAACAACATGAGACCCCCTCTGTACAAAAAAAAAAAATAAAAAACAGAAAAAAAGAAAAATTAGGTGGGTATAGTAGTATGTGCCGTAAGTCCCAGCTACTCAAGAGGCTGAGCCAGGATGCTCGCTTGAGCCCAGGAGTTTGAAGATGCAGTGAGCTATGATCGCACCACTGCATGCTAGCCCAGGCCAACACAGCAAGACACTGTCTCAAAAAAAAAAAGAAAAAAAAAAATCAGATCAGGCAGAGTAGTTCATGCTTGTGAACTTATAATCCCAGCACTCTGGGAGGCCAAGGCAAGATTGTTTGAGGCCAGGAGTTTGAGACCAACTTGGGCAACATCAAGACCCCATCTCTACAGAAATAAAAATAAACTAGCCGGGCATGGTGGTATGCACCTGTAGTCCCAGCTCCTCAGGAGGCTGAGCCAGGAGGATCACAAGCCCAGGAGTCTAAGCCTGCACTGAGCTATGATACTGCCACTGCACTCCAGCCTGGGTAACAAAGCAAGATCTCACCTCTAAAAAACACAAATATAAATCACTGAACTAGTCCAACTTACTCTTTTTTGTTGTTGTTGTTGAGGCTGAGTCTCTCTCTGTTGCCCGGACTAGAGTGCCTTGGCATCAACCTAGCACACAGCAACCTCAAACTCCTGGGCTCAAGAGATCCTCTTGCCTCAGCCTCCCAAGTAGCTGGGACTACAGGCATACGCCACCACACCCGGCTAATTTTTCTATTTTTTAGTAGAGATGGGGTCTCACTCTTGCTCAAGCTAGTCTCGAACTACTGACCTCAAGCTATCCTCCCACCTTGGCCTCCCAGAGTGCTAGGATTATAGGCATGAGCCACCATGCCTGCCCCCAACTACTCTTTTCACAACTGAAAAAACTGAGATACCCAAAAAGTTAAATGAGAACCAGAAATACTAAAATAAGTTAGGAAAAAAGGGAAAATATACATATCAACCATAAAAATGTAATTAGAGCCTGGTCACCCCCAAAATATATAAAATAAGCAATCTTTATCAGTAAAATTAAATTATGAAAAGAAAGTATCGTATTCACTTCTTGGCTCAGTTTATTGACATCATATAGCTGTAATAATAATCATTTAGGGCTGGTCATGGTGGCTCACACCTGTAATCCTAGCACTCTGGGAGGCCAAGGCAGGCAGATCGTTTGAGCTCAGGAGTTCGAGACCAGCCTGAGCAAGAGCAAGACCCCTGTCTCTACTAAAAAAAAAATTGAAAAAAATTAGCTAGACAACTAAAATATATATACACACACACACACACACGTGTATGTATTAATATATATAATACCATATATATATTATATATTATATATATATATATATATATATATATAAAATTAGCTGGGCATAATGGCACGTGCCTGTAGTCCCAGCCACCTGGGAGGCTGAGGCAAGAGGATCACTTGAGCCAGGAGTTTGAGGTTGCTGTGAGCTAGGCTAATGTCACAGCACTCTAGCCCAGGCAACAGAGTGAGGCTCTGTCTCAATCAATCAATAATCATTTAGTAAGTACCTCCTATGAGCTAAGCATGGTAAGTACTTTAAATATATTTAAGTATCAAGACAATCTTATAATATAGGTATGATTATACCTTTTTTATTAATGAGGAAACTAAGGTCCATAGGGATTATATAACTTACTGAATATCACACACAAATCTATAAATTATAGAGCTCAGCTTAAAATATAGATTTAGGCTGGGCGCGATGGCTCATGCCTGTAATCCTAGCACTCTGGGAGGTGGAGGCGGGCGGATTGCTCGAGGTCAGGAGTTTGAAACCAGCTTGACCAAGAGTGAGACCCCATCTCTACTATAAATAGAAAGAAATTAATTGGCCAACTAATATATATAGAAAAAATTATCCAGGCATGGTGGTGCATGCCTGTAGTCCCAGCTACTCAGGAGGCTGAGGCAGGAGGATCGCTTGAGTCCAGGAGTTTGAGGTTGCTGTGAGCTAGGCTGACACCATGGCACTCACTCTAGCCTGGGCAACAAAGCGAGACTCTGTCTCAATCAATCAATCAATCAAATCTAGATTTAATTGGTCCCAAGTCTACGATTTTCCTCTATACCTGTCCTGCCTTTCTGCTAGATAATTTAGGTCTGGACAAATTTTTACTGATAAATGGCAGCTTATATAATACTTGCCCAGATATTTTAATCACTTCAAGGAACCTTTACATTGAAACTTATCAGCTTTATTTAATACATCTACTTATTAATTCCTACATAATATTAAAAACCAAAAACTATATAAAACCCAGAAACACAGATATACTTAACACGAAACATGTATTCTTAGAAACAAATGTTAATTATATATTTTAAAAAGTTTTTAACTGCTACTAAAGGAGATTATAAACTCTGAGGTGAATAATTTTGCATAGCTAACATCAGTTTTCTAAGTTTGAGTATCTTTACTGATGTATCTATGATATATTTAAGAATCTACCATAAATCTACATTTCACTGGAATTTAGTTGTAGTATTTAATTAGTCACAGTAAGCCTATTAAGCTTACAGTTTAGTGTAAGTTTTAACATGAACATCTGTCTTCTATTTCATAGAAAACTCTTTAAACACAAAAGAACAACTTTAGGGCAACTTCTGGGGCCCCCTTCTCTTGGGGCCCCAGAATCTCATCCGGGATAAATTATTTATATTATTAAAAATAAAAAAATTTAAAAAACCAACTTTAAAACATATTTTTAATTCAAGATCTATTATAATTGGCATTGTACTTTTTCCCCATAGCTCTACTCTTAATAGAAAACCCCAACCTTCTATTCCAATAAATACCTTAGATGCATGTTCTAAATATTGTTTTCCTGCAGACATCTGAGTAAGCAGACGAAATTTGTTGTCTTGAAGTACATAGATGCCCTATTCCAAAAATAGAAAAAACATCAAAGGCAATGTAGTCTATAGTTCTTAAAATTACCTTATTGCTACAAAACAATGTAAAAGTTTTTTAAAGTTATTAAAATTCTCCTTTCCATTGGTCAAATTTTCTTTAAATGAAAGAAGTTTGCAATGTTCAAATTTTAGAGTTGTGAGTTCAGTATTTCGTAACATTAATATTCACTGAATTTTTTTTTTTAAGAGACAGGGTCTCACTTTGTCACCCAGATTGGAGAGCAGGGGCACAGTCACAGCTCACCACACCCTCCAACTCCAGGGTTGGAGCAATCCTCCCACTTAAGCCTCGGAAGTAGCTGGCAGGTGCATGCCACCACCCCCAGCTAATTTTTTTCATTTTTTTGGTAGAGATAGGGACTCACTGTGTTGCCCAGGCTGGTCTCAAACTCCTGGCTTCAAGCAGTCCTCCTGCTTCAGCTTCCCATAGTGCTGGGATTTATGGGTGTGAGCCACTGCAGCCAGCCATTTACAGAATGTTTTTGTTTTTTTTTTAACTTTTTCTTTTTTTTTCTTCTTCTTCTTCCCATGAATAAAAAATAAACCTAAAACTGAACGTTTTTTACACTGAAGATACAAAGATGCATAAGACATAGTCTCTATCCTTAAAATACTCACACTCTATGGCAAAAAAATCATTGACACATGCCCATGTGAAATTAACTGTTATATATATAATTAAATCATGTCTAGAAAGTCAATAATCGGAGTTACTTTTTATCATTAGTATTTTAATTAATTTCAAGTTAAAGTTGCTATTGTTATATGAAAAATGAATTGTATTGGTAGTATCAGAAACATTATAAATATTTTAATTTTTTACTTAATCAAAATGCTAAATCTGGGACAGGCACGGTGGCTCACGCCTGTAATCCTAGCACTCTGGGAGGCCCAGGTGGGCAGAATGCTCAAGGTCAGGAGTTTGAAACCAGCCTGAGCAAGAATGAGACCCTGTCTCTACTATAAATAGAAAGAAATTAATTCGCCAACTAACATATACAAAGAAAAAATTAGCTGGGCATGGTGGCGTATGTCTGTAGTCCCAGCTACTTGGGAGGCTGAGGCAGCAGTATTGCTTGAGCCCAGGAGTTTGAGGTTGCCGTGAGCAAGGCTGATGCCATGGCACTCATTCTAGCCTGGGCAACAAAGTGAGACTCTGCCTCAAAAAAAAAAAAAAAAAGAAGAAGAAGAAAAAGCTAAATCTGGCCAGGTGAGGTGGCTCATGCCTATAATCCTAACACTTTGGGAGGCCAAGAAGGGGGAACTACTTGAAGCCTGTAGTTCAAGACTAAACCGAGCAACATATCGAGACCCTATCTCTACAAAAATATAGAAAAATCAGCACGGTGTGATGGTACACACCCGTAATCCCAGCTACTTGGGAAGCTGGGGCAGGAGACTGCTTGAGCACAGGTGTTTGATGATGCTGTGGGCTATGATGATGCCACTGCACTCTAGCCCAGGAAACAAAGTGAGACCCTGCACCCCCCTCACCCAAAAATGCCAAATCCATTCTAAGTATTTTCTCAAGGTTTATAAAATAAATCTATTTAAATGCATAGTTTTTAAAATCAATCTATTTAAATACATAGTTTTCTATGCAATCTACTAATTTTGTAGTAACAAAATATTAGAATAGAAAAGGACATCAATAATAATGCAAGTTATTTAAGAGTAAAATATGCTTTATAAATTAGACCTTAGAAATTAAAGACATAAATACGATAGATTTGTGGTTCTGCATATTAAGACAACTAAATAATAACTAAGGAACCAAATTCTGAAAGCTATATCATTCTGACATTTACTACTTTTTAAAATTTAACATAACTTATATAATTGGGGAAAAGGAACAGCTATCATTACTGATAACTGTCCTTTTGTCTTTATTCACTTTAACCTAATAGAGAAAAATACTAATGACTTATTAATAACATAAAAGAAACATTCCAAAGTCAACCAGAAATTATTTTAAGTTTTAAATAAGTAAATCACTAAAATGGGACATTCATATTAAGTTAAAGGACTTAAAAGAAAGGCCTTAATTTATCTAATTACCTGATGATTTGTCCTTAGATTGTCGATTTGTTTCTTGAATACTGTAGTCCAAAAATCTTTACAAATGAACTTCATGATATCTAACTCATCCTTAAATCTTGCAGTATCTTTTGTAAACCTAAAAAGATCAACTAGAAGTAATGTACCATTTTCTCCAATGCAAGAGGAGCAAATTATTAACTAATTTCCAAATGCCAGAACAACACTGAACATTTATTGACAGTCAAAGCGGTAAGCACCCAAGCAAAGTAGATCCTATGTCAATGAATTCACATTTTGTTATATGATGGGGCCTAAAATTAGTCTAATAGTATATTTGTCTAACAGCGTAGCCAAAATTTTAGGTACAATTCATTCTAGTACATTAAAAAAAAAGAGCTGAGCATGATCATTATATTGTTATATAAAATATAATTGGAGTTCAACTACATAGATGGTAAGAAGGGAAAATTAAAAAGAATCGATCTATTGTAAGCTATAGTTCTGCTAAAAAAATTGATCTATAATATAAATTGAAAGATACATACACAAACATAGACCCTAAGACACTAAACATCCCTAGGCACTAAAACAAATTTCTATTCAGGTAAAATAATCTACTAGACCTTAAGTAGAAAGTGCAACACAATTTTGGATAATTGTTTCAATATCCCAACATTTTCAGGAAAAAAATATAAAATATAGATTTTCTTCAAATATTAAAACATAAAATTTGATTAACTGAGTTAAAATAGCATTAGACTTAAGAAGAATTTTAATCTGTGAATTAAAGGAAGAATTAAAATTTGGATCTACAATTTTGCGCAACTTTTTGAAATGGATCATTTTTGTTCATAACCTACCTGGAAGAAAATTTTCAAATCCATACTGCTCACCTTTCTATCAATCCTTGTCCCACTCGAAACCCCATATTTTCCAGCTTAGTAATACATCGTCCATTTTCCTATTTAAAAAAAAAATAGTTTTGAATACTTTTAGAATGCTGAAGATGTTAGTATTCAAAACTAGTTTTAAAATAGTAACTAAAATTTTTTTTCTTTTTTTTTTCTTTCACACATTCTCAGATGAGCAAAGTAACTAAAATTTTTAATGTAAATATTTATACTTATTTCACTGAAACATTTTAAGAAAAAGTGAATTATAAGATATACTTGCATTTTCTTAGCATTAATCATTTTCATAGGGCAGTAAATTATTGCTTATTATTACTTTTTGGAAATACCATCTTCCTAATTACTCTCCCTCTCGCCTTTTCCCCTATTTTCAATCATTCTTTTCTCCTAGGTTATAAAATCTAGTACCATCTTTGACTTATTTCTCCTCATTCCCGTTGTGCTGTCACTAAGTTCTTTTGTTCCTTGCTTCAAAATGTATCTAAGAGTCATACAGGTTTCCCAGTTCTCAGTGTGTCCTAGTTGATAACCATCCTATGCCTTTGTGATTGCTTTGCTCTTCCTTTGACAATCTCATCTACTAATGACCTTTTTTTGAGACAGAGTCTCCTCTGTCCTCCAGGGTAGAGTACAGTGGCATGATCATAGGTCACTGCAACCTCAAATTCCTGGGCATAGTGATCCTCCTGGCTCAGCCTTCCAAGCAGCTAGGACTACAATATGCGCCACCACGCTCAGCTAATTTTTTTTATCCTTTGTAGAGACAGGGTCTTGCTATGTTGCCCAGGCTGGTCTTGAACTTTTGGCCTCACATGATCCTCCTGCCTCAGCATCCCAAAGTTCTATAGTTATAAGCATGAGCCATGGAGGAGTCCAGCCTAATCTTAAGGCTTTAATACTACCTCTATGTTGAACACTTCCAAATCCTATAGATGACAACTTATGGATTGCCCTATATAATCCAGACCCATACCTCTGCAGCCTCAACCTTCTAGTCTCTTAAGATTCACTCTGTTCCACCTGCATTGACCTCTTTTTGTGCCTTAAATATGCCATGTATGCTCCAATCTTATAGTTTTTGCATCAGCAGCTCTTTCTCCAGATATTCGCATGACCAACTCCCTTATTTCCTTCAAGTCTGCTCTCATGCCACTATCTTAATAAGGCCCATTTACCAACTTCTTTAAAATTGCATTATCCCAGGCTGGGCATGGTGGCTCATGCCTGTAATACTAGCATTATTGGAGGCCAAGGCAGGCGGATCATTTGAGCTCAGGAGTTCGAGACCAGCCTGAGCAGGAGCGAGACCCCGTCTCTACTACAAAAAATAGAAGGAAATTAGCTGGACAACTAAAAGTATATATATAAAATTAGCCAGGCATGGTGGAGCATGCCTGTAGTCCCAGCTACTCGGAAGGCTGAGGCAGTAGGATTGCTGAGCCCAGGAGTTTGAGGTTGCTGTGAGCTAGGCTGATGTCACGGCACTCTAGCCCGGGCAACAGAGTGAGACTCTGTCTTAAAAAAAAAAAAAAAAAAAAAATTACATCATCCCCTTCAGCAACTCTCTATCCTTACTTTGTCTCCATAGAACTTCTTTCACTGTTTAACATACTATACATTTTACTATATCATCCACATCCCCCTTTCTCCAATCTCTGCTAGAATACAGCTCCAAGAAGTCCGGGATTTTTGTATATTCTGAAATCTGTTTGTCTCCCATTAAGAAGTAAACCAACCATAGGCCTCATTATTTGCTGAATTTTCTTTAGGGAACCATGCACTCCACTTATGATTCTGTGACTACTAGAAACTAGTACAAACTTTCACTTTATTGGACATAGCCATCTAGAGGTCCCGCAAGACCCTCAAACTAGGCATATTCAAAATAATGTTCATTATCTTAATGTCCTCAGCCTGCTCTGCCTCCGAAATTTCCTGATTTCATTAATGGTACCACCACCATCCAACTAGTTACCCCAGCCAAAAAAGTTCCATTTTCTTCATCCCTTTGCCCCCAACCCCTCCACACACACTGTAGTCCTGTGAATCCTATCCTTTACATGCTTTTCAAGACCTATATTCTCTCTCCATCCTTATTGCTTAAGCCTTATCATTTCTCTCCTGGTTTTTAGTTACGGCCTTCCAAGTGGCCTTGTCTCTGGTTTTTCCTTTGAGTGATTTATATTTTACTGGTAATACAATTTCTAAAAAAAGAAATCATGATATTTCTCTACTGGATATTTCAGTGCCCACTCCCCTTTCCTGTCAATAAAGTCCAAACTCGCCGGGCATGGTGGCTCACGCCTGAAACCCTAGCACTTTGGGAGGCTGAAGCGGTCGGATTGCTCAAGGTCAGGAGTTTGAAACCAGCCTGAGCGAGACCCCGTCTCTACCAAAAATAGAAAGAAATTAATTGACCAACTAAAAATATATATACAAAAAATTAGCCGGGCATGGTGGCACATGCCTGTAGTCCCAGCAACTCGGGAGGCTGAGGCAGAAGGATCGCTGAGCCCCAGAGATTGAAGTTGCTGTGAGCCAGGCTGACGGCACAGCACTCACTCTAGCCTGGGCAACAAAGTGAGACTCTGTCTCAAAAAAAATAAATAAATAAATAAATAAATATAAAGTCCAAACTCCTTAGATGGCATGAAATGTCCTTTCCTTAAGGATACAGCCTTTCTTTAAATGACCGCTGGCTAGTTAACCAGACTTACTAACATCATACACCTATCCAAAGCACCCTTCCCTCTGCCACTCTGAAATTTCTGCAGCAACTCCAGAGTGCTACATTCTCTTCTGCCTCCATGGCTTTGCACATGCTCGTCCCTAGACTTTAAATCCTTTAAATTCAGCTGAAATGTCGTTATCAAACATGCTTGGGTGGAATGAGTACCTGTAAGTTTCAATGTTCTTTGTGAAACAATCTAATCTGTTCTTTATAGAATCACCCAGAAACACATTAGCAGGAAATATGCTAATAATATACAGATACTCTCAAATCCTTTGATCACATGAGCTTTTGAATTAAGCCACACTAAGTATCTTCTGATCTTGCTACTTGTTAATTTACTTTGGCACCTGTGAGTACTCAGTACTAGGTACCAGATTTTTAAGAAAAATTAAACTTGAGAATATTTTATCCATTAACCTTTTTAAAATCCACTCTCCATAAATTGAGAAATGCCCAATTAGTCAATTTTTAGATTTTTAATTCCCATTCAAGCATAGTTTGAAATCATTGGAGAATGAGAACATTGGGTTTTTTATTTCACTTCAAAAGTTATAAATAAAAGTTTATTCTACTACATTGAAAGTTAATAAAATTTTATTTTACTTAAAACAATTTTCATCATAGGGCCAGTCATGGTGGGTCATGCCTATAATCCCAGCACTTGAGAGGCTGAAGTGGGAAGATCACTTGAGGATAGGAGTTTTGAGACCAGCCTGAGCAACACAGCAAGACCCTATCTCTTTGGAGGATAATCTGAGTTAAAAAAAAAAAAAGAAGAAGAAGAAAGAAAGAAAGAAAAAAGACCCTATCTCTACAAAAAAAAATTTTTAATTAAAAATCTAGCTGGGCATGGTAGAGCATGCCTGTAGACCCAGTTCGGGAGGCTGAGGAATTAAGAATTAAGTTGTCAACATTAATTGTAACAATAAGAACATCAACAAGTAAGATTTTCACAAACCACTAACTACAGGGTTTTGCCCAGGTTTTGCTTCCTAAGGCCCTGGGCTCAAAACTAGCCTGAATTATATACAACTCACATGGCAGTATTGTGTTAATCATACAATGCTCTTTCTAACTTCAGCTCTCCATTCTCACTCTCCACCCATTAAATCTAGTCACAATGAAATAATTAATCATATTTAAATCCACTGCTTTCCTAACACTATGCCTTTCCCACCCCCACTCTTCCACCCCTCTTTATAGACAGCATTACAGAAATGGCTCTGGATTTGAGCATGACTTTGGAATATATAATTTCTAGAATCCGTTTCAACTCCGTGATTCTATACCTAATTACCAACCTATACTTAATTTTAACTATTCATTAAATCCCCATTGACCTGGAAGAGTGTCAGGCCCACGATACAAGCTTAATAAATGTTTTCTTAAAGAATCAATGAGGATTCCCACATAGAAGTAACCACCACGAGGATGAGGCCATTGTTTCATTCACTACTATAGCACCTAGAACTAGCTCTGACATAATGGGCAGTAAATAAATATTTTCTCAATTGTGTTTCCTAATTATCCTAACGTCTGCAAACTTTGCTTTGACCTCAAACTTCATTAGGTTCAGGTCCTCGAGTTGCGTGGAGTTGTACTGGGGATTAGGGTTGGGGAGGAAGGACAGGATTCTCAGGCTGGGACAGCTCTGTGCAGTGGACGGGTCGGAAGTGCAGGCAGTGCCAGCAAAATTAAGGAGGAGCCAAAATCCGCCCTGTAGTTAACTCTGCCGTTTATCACGGTAGGGACAACACTACAAGTAAGAAAATCTGAGGTGTGCAGGACAAAAGTATGGGAACGGACAAAAAAAAATCCAAATAGAAGAAAGAGGAAAGGATGAAAGATGAAGTATTAAAGGAGTCAGCCGAGAGGTTCTTGGGTTTAGGATACCTAGAAGGGGACCAGTTTGTCTACACCTCTGGAGGCGCTGGGCGGCGATGGGACAGGGGTTGAAGGAAAGAACTGAAGAGAAACAAGGAGTGTCATCGCACAAGAACCAAAGGCAGCAAGCACTCACCACCTCCCCCTGCTCCGCGGACTTGTACACTCCAGACACCATCTCGTTATGGAGAAGCAAAAACAACGCCTCGTCCGCCATTTCCTGCTTATTCTTCAGAGCTCTGTGTTTCGGCAACCGTTTGGGCCAGGCCTGGGGTTCTGGCTCCCGCCGGGGCGACTTGGCCCGCGCCGCGGCCCAGTCTCTCGTTGCTAGGAGACCAAGGAATTCACAAGGCTTCCCAAAGGCAGGTACTGAAATGAATCCGGTAACGGGTAGAGCCCACCTCAGGGGCCACCAAACCCTAGGGCAGAACGAAAGAGTCTGACAGCCGCAGGAACCAAACCCAGCCCGCAGGGACCCGAGCTGGCCCTGGGCGGGGGGCGAAGACACAACTTCCGGTCCCCTCTATCCCGGCATTCCGCCAACTCTATGATCGCTGAGTTCCTCTCTCATGCGGGGGTGAACTAACTGCCCTCGCCCAGGTAGAAGGAAGCTTCCTCCTCTGTGCTCTGGGGGTAGGGGTGTGGAGGGTAAAATAAGACATAAGGATCTCCCGCTGCCATCTCCGTGTTAATTAGCTGTAAAAGAAAAATAGACAAGAGTTTCTATTGGCTTCATCTAAACCCTCCATTTCCTGCATATGTTCTTCACTATGAAAAGTTGTAGAAAGACTGAATAAATCAATTTTCAGACCGTAAATTTTTGATATATTGAGAGGTTATCCCAATCCATATTGGATTAAACCCGGGTATGCAAAAAGATTTAGAGCCATTTTGGCTACCAAAACGTTTACTGAGGCCGGAGGCGGTAATCCTCCTGTAATCCTAGCACTCTGGGAGACCGAAGCAGGAGGATCGCTCAAGGTCAGGAGTTCGAAACCAGCCTGAGCAAGAACGAGACAAACCCTCCCCCCTACTATAAACAGAAATTAATTGGCCAACTAAAAATATATAGAGAAAAAAAATTAGCCAGGCATGGTGGCTTATGCCTGTAGTCCCAGCTACTCCGGAGGCTGAGGCTGAAGAATCGCTTGAGCCCAGGAGTTTGAGGTTGCTGTGAGCTAGGCTGACGCCATGGCACTCTAGCTCCCGCAACAGAGTGAGACTCTGTCTCAAAAAAAAAAAAAAAGAAGAAGAAGAAAAAGAAGTTTACTGGGAGTGGGGTGCAATGGACAAGGGGGGTGGAGTAAGCAAAAAACTTCAAGGTATACGTGAACCACAAAATACAAACTAATCAGAGGATAGGTGAATGGAAAAATGCCAAAGAATTCAGAAAAGTGATGTCATTGTTGGATGGTATTCTTAGGAGTCTATGGCAGTTGTAAGACAACTCTCCTACAGAGGTGCAAATGCATATGCTACACTCTGGTTTAAGCACATTGCTTAGCCAGTGGTTCTTTTTTTTTTTTTGAGACAGAGTCTCACTTTGTTGCCCAGGCTAGACTGAGTGCTGTGGCGTCAGCCTCGCTCACAGCAACCTCAAACTCCTGGGCTCAAGCCATCCTCCTGCCTCAGCCTACTGAGTAGCTGGGACTACAGGCACGTGCCACCATAGCCGGGCTATTTTTTTCTATTTTTGGTAGAGATGGGGTCTCGCTTTTGCTCAGGCTGGTCTCTAACTCCTGAACTCAAATGATCCTCCAGCCTCAGCCTCCCAGAGTGCTAGGATTACAAGCGTGAGCCACCGCACCCAGCCTTTGGTTCTTTTCTTGATAATTTACAAAGCAGATTTTTTTTCCAATTAAATTCATTGTTTCCCCCAAATTAATATATTGGGTTTTCTCAAATTAACAATAACCTCTCAACTTTCATATACCCTTTGACAGTAATTTAAGATTATGTTCCATAACTGTAATTATGGTAGTTTTTTTTTTTACATGTCCATTATAATGTTTGGATCAGTTTATTCATCATATAAATCAAGCATAAAATTTCCACATAAGCCCTTTTTGGTGTCAGCCTACCTCACAGCAACTTCAAACTCCTGGGCTCAAGGGATCCTCCTCCCTCAGATTCCCTAGTAGCTGGGACTGCTGGGACTACAGAAGCTAACCACAACACCCAGCTAATTTTTTGTTTCTATGTTTAGTTGTCTGGCTAACTTTTTCTATTTTTAGTAGAGACAGGGTCTCCCTCTTGCTCCTGACCTCAAGGGATCCTCCGGCCTTGGCCTCCCAGGGCACTAGGATTACCGGTGTGAGCCACTGCACCGGGCCTCACCTAAGCCTTTGAGAAAACAAGTATAATTTTGAAGAGTATTTTGCTACCATAATGTTAATTTTTCCAGCACTAAAATTTCCTATACATGAAATCACGCCCTTTATATCTAAATCGATATCAGCCCTATTACTCATCTCTACTTTTTCTTTTTTTAAAAAAAAAGTCTCTTTTTAAAAATTATTTGAGACTGGGATGGACATGTATGGGGAAGGGTTTCACTGGTCTCCAATTCCTGGACTGAAGGGATCCTCCAGCCTCAGTTTCCTCAGTAACTGGGACTACAGACAAGAACCACCAGGCCCAGCTACTTTTTTTTTTTATAGCACTTCTCATTTTCTAACACACTATGTAATTTTATGTTTATGGTCTGTCCCTATACTTCCTCTTTCTAAGCTTCTTCAGAGATCTTTACTGTACACTGATGTACCCAAGTGCCTAGAACAGCACCTGGCACATAGTAGGTGGTCAATAAATATTTGAATAAATAAATAATTTTTGCTCCTTCAGGAACCTCCAAACTCTACAAAAGCAGGAACCACAGCTACGTTGTTCTAGGGTTTATCTTCAGCAATACCATAGAAGCTTTATAAAGTGGTAGGATGAATTAAAGTGGTAGCTTGAGTTTAACAGTGTGCCCACTAATGATCTGTGCAAGGAGGATGTCTGGCTGAGACAATTTGTATTGTTTCCGTGGGAAATGTTTTCTGAGCAACAATTTGTATATGTATTACTGCAACAAGACCAGTTCCTACGTGTGCAGTGCAGATAGAGCAGAGCCAGAAGCTGGACAACACACACACCATTAACAATAGGGCTGCTCCCCTAGACTCAGGTGTTTTTTGTTTTTTTTTTGTGTTGTTGTTGAGACAGAGTCTCACTGTGTTGCCTGGGCTAGAGTGAGTGCCATGGCGTCAGCCTAGCTCACAGCAACCTCAAACTCCCGGGCTCAAGCAATTATCCTGCCTCAACCTCCCAAGTAGCTGGGACTACAGGCTTGCGCCACCATACCCGGCTAATTTTTTCTATACATTTTTAGTTGGCCAATTAATTTGTTCTATTTTTTAGTAGAGATAGGGTCTAGCTCTTGCTCAGGCTGGTTTCGAACTCCTGACCTTGAGCGATCCACCCGCCTAGGCCTCCCAAGAGTGCTAGTAGACTCAGTCTTAACCACTCTATGCCAGGTGAAGAGACTAAGTCAACCATGCCTGCCCTGTCTTATCATTGCTTGTCTAGTACAGCCTTGTACAGGGTCTGAATCAGAGGCTGATTCTCAGTTGACGAGACAAGGGACAGTTACATTATCTGCAATCTCAATTTTCTTATCAGTAAAGAGAGGCATTTTATCCAAGCTTTAGTTTGTGAGGAATAAGGCATATAAAGTGTTTACACAGGGTCCGGGACAAGACCAACTCCTAACATTTGTTAGCTGTTATGATTAATTTTTCCTATTCTTCATTCTTCCGCTTCCTTCTGCTCACCGAACTAACCAAATCCAGCATGCTGCTACTCCCTCTCTGGGCATGCGCACCAAAAGAATGGCCGCGCCCTCTTATTTAAATCATTAACTGAGGTGAGGGGAAAAAGACAAAGTGGACTCGCCTACGCCCTACCCTGATGTGATAAGGCGGTTAAAACGATACAAGGCACGTTACATCACAGTTTGAAAAGGTTGGAAAACTCCGCGCTCTCCTTGGCAGAACTGCAGGCCCGCGAGCCTGCGTCTCCGAGGACCCAGGAACTCTCAAACCCGCCCCAGCTCTGCGCTAGAAGCGGAGTCCAGCCACCCGCGGCTAATCGGGGAGGGAGGTGACTGCTGGCCGACTTCTCATTGGCCCAGAGTCACAAAGGCCGCCAGCTTCTCCCCCTTCGGTCGCTGAGTGGTTGCGGCCGAAATAACGCCTATCGTGATTGGCTAAGCTCGGCTGTCAGTCCTTTCGCGACTCGCAGCGCGGCGCAGAGCGGCGCAGTCCGCCGCGGCCTGTAGAGCAGTCTCGAAGCCTGCCTCACGGAGAAGATGGCGGTCGCAGTGAGGACTTTGCAGGAGCAGCTAGAAAAGGCCAAAGAGAGCCTAAAGACGCTGGAAGAATATTCGCAAGCTCACCGGGCGAGATCCGAATGACGTGAGGTAAGGGCCTGACGGGAACTGCGAGCTCTGAGAGGCAGCCCTCAAGTCGGGGGAATTGGGGGTGGGGAGGCGGCCGGCCCTGAGGAGGCTGGAACCTCGAGGCTTGTTCCCCTGGCGGCGTGAGGACCGTTCCGGTGAGGTGGTGAGGCTCGCGGCCCTCCGCTGGGCTCATGTGCCCTGAGGAGAGAGAGCGAGGCTTGGTGCGCCAAAATGGTTTCCCGGCCTGTGAGAAGGCCCCGAACTGGCGGATTCCGGCCTTGGCCCTGCAGGCCCGGAACTGCAGCACAAAGCCCCTTCCCGCTCCGGCGGCCACCCGGCCGGGCTTGGCCGGGAGACCCTCCCCGGGACGCGATCTGCGCGCCTCTCCCCGGCTCCTGCCCACGTGCAGCTTCCTCGCGG